TGTGTATGGAAATGACGACGGAGACGAAGTAAACAAAACAAAAGGAGCAACAAGAACAAAATAATCAAATCATTTGCAAAATAAAAGCAAATTACTGAGAATTATATGTAATGTATTTACACACACACACACCCACCCACGCACTCGCACACACACACACACCGCAAGAGCATTTACAAATGCGCATAAGCGCTCTATATACGCACTAAAGTGCCACGCCCAGCTCATGTGCACGCCCTCGAACTTTGCTTGTGGCATTAGCTACATGTGACGCCCTCTTGTGAGCTATTCAACTTTTATTTTATACTTTCAAAGCCTTCTGAGAAATGGAAATAAGCAGCTTGTCAAGAAACATGACGAATTTTTCTGTCAGTAATCGCGAAATATTTATTTTGGCAAAATGAATAATTAACTTAAAATGTTATTGCTGTTTCGCTTAGATCACACACACAAATAAGCAAGATCTTACTCTTTAATATATTGAATGAGTTTTTATAAATTAGTTCAAGTAAAGAGCACAACGTTAAATAAAACTTAAAGGATAGGCATTTCTTATCGTTATGATAAGATGAAAAGGAAACTTTCCTCTGGAAAGATCATAGTCATTTATTAATTTTTTAAACTATGAATATATTGACCATTGTAGTTCCTTATTTTTAAGTCGCCAAATATCTATTCATTTTGCTGCTCTCTGAAACTTGGTGAGAAAAAAGAAATGCCTGAGAATACATAATTTAATGGGTATTGAAGCTGTGGCTCCTTCTTAGTGTTCAGCGAGCTACTTGTTGTTGGCTCAACGCGTTCTTTACATGTTTAAAGCGTCGAAATTGCAAAAACATCTGTTTTTGGCCTGTAGGGATTTCTTGTATAGTATGCGGGTGAATTTCTTCTTCTTTCTTTGCGCTTTGTAAGGGTATTGTGGGCGTTTTTCGCCCTCAATTTCATTTGCAATTGAATTTGGGATTATTTTTCATTTTTGCTGCGCATCTTTTGCAGAGGTCACAAGTGGCCTGAATGGCTCCGAATGGGGCAAAGCAGGCGGGGGCCAAAAGACCTACCGCCCACCCGCCTAGCTCGCCCGCTAGCCTCCCCCTCTAGAATAGCCGCTTGCATGTCTGAGCGCCGTTTGTCTCTGACTGACGCTGTTGCTATTGCTGCTGTTGTACTGGAAATCCCCTGGCAGTAGCATGTTAGGGGAGGGACAAACCCTAAGCTTGCCTGAGCTGGCAACGGGAAGTTGTAAAATTCATAAGTCGAGCGCGTGGCTTTTGTGCAATTGGAGCAACAAGAAACGAAAGCTGAATACACAGAATATAAAAAATCTTGTACAAGTGCAAGTTTCTTCAGTTTGAAAGTGGGACCAAGTGGGGCATAGGAGTTGTGTATGGAATAGGGGGTTTGAATTGGGTGTCGAAGCGACTGCAGGCAAAGATAACACCAAAGTGCACTTTAATCTATGTGAAGAAATCTCAGAGCGTCGCGACGCTGCAGCAAAATATGATTGAAGTGTCGGTTAAGGATTGGGTTGGATGGGCCGGCAGGTTTAGCTCCTCCAGCTGGCTGTGTGTGTGTATGTGTGTGGCGGCACCAGTGTATGTGTGTGCTCGTGCCAACGAAAAGGCACAAAGAGCAAACGCTTGAGTGGCAGCCGGCGAGAGAGAAAGAGAAATTGGAAAAATGAAATGTGAAGAAAACTGCGCCAACAGCTGTTGATTGAAATGGCCCACACACACACACACACACACACACACACACACACCGATAACTTCAAATACAAAATGTCACACACACACACACAGACAGACAGGATAACGTGGGCAGGGCGGACAGCTTCCAACTCGAGTGGCACTCTCAAAGCAGCACACAGCATAAAGACCGAAAATCAGACAACATCTTGGGCAAAGGCTGCCTGCGTCCAGGCAAACACATCAGATAAGCACGATTGAATGCAAGCCCTTACCAAAGAGCACAGCGCAACAGCGGGCAGGAGTCGCAAAGAGTGATGGACGGGCTACAACAACAAAGCTGTCCTAAAAAACCAACCAAAAGAAAGTAAAGGCGCTGCAGCAACAACAACAGCACACAACACAAAAAGGAGTATAAAAAAATAGCAGAAAAAACGAAATAAAAACGGGTCATTGGAGTAAGATGAGCGAGCAGCTCTCAAACCAGAAACCCCTAAACCCTTCTTAAAATGGAAATGCCGCGGTGCACAAAGAGCTATACAGGGAGCACACAGTTGGTATAATCTCATACAAATACTGGACGACTACGAGAAGCCCTGTAAAATGGGTTGAATGATATAATTATCATTTTATCTACTTTGATAGATTGAAATAATATTCCTGTATTGGGGGCTATTTATTCCTGAATATGATAATTATTTTTTTAAATTCCATATTTATATCGATCTCTCTTTTTGTAACTCAACTTCATTGATTAGGCTCTGAATATAACTATAATTATCATTCTTACAATAGTTGTCATTATCATAAGCATTATCACTATCACTATTACTACAATTATCATTATCATTAACATGACCATTATCATTATTACTTTCATTATCATTATTATTATCATTATCATTATCATTATCATTTGTCATTAGTATTATCATTTTTATCATCCATGGTATTTTCAATATTATTATACCGATCATCTAAAATCTAATGATATGCTCCAAATGGTCTCACCAACCATTGCAATAATTTAATAACCGCGCATACCCTGTACAGCAGTTTCGCTTATAGGGCATAAAGATAGACAGAGAGTTAAGGGATGCCTTTGAAATGCAAATTATACCCCAAGGAGAGGTTGGGAGGAAGGGGCGGAAAGGGTCTGTGTGACTGTTGGAAATGCAGCGGAAAAGAAAATGCGGAAGCTGCGCGCTGTCGGATTCTTGGCTTGTCGAGTGTTATGTATTTAGTGGCTGCTTCAGCTGTTGCTACCCCTTGATTGCCCCGCTCCACCCCTGCTCTTTAGCACCTGCCGTACAATTTGCGCTTTGGTATAGGTCGCGTTTTTCGCGGCGTTGCCATACAGTGTCCCTGCCGAAGTTTGGCAACGCCGTGGACTCTACGCAAAGAAATAATAAAGACAAACAATGCATTGTGCGTTGGGATGGAAGGAAAGGGCAGAGCCGTGCAGAGCTGGGCAGGGCAGGTGGGGAAACAGTGTAAAAGCATAATGATAATGGCAGCAGCAGCAGCTATAAAGCCGCCCCCATTCCACTTTTGCGACCAACTTGACACAATAGCAGTCAGCCAAATAAAAATTTATGGCACAGCTGAAAATTGCAATGTTGCCAGTGTGTACACACTATGGCCCCGGGTCCGAAATCCCATTCGAATACGTACTAGGGAGTTGGGAAAATATACTCCGAGTGGCCCATTGTAAAACTGGGTGGCCTGTTATGAGTTTTAACGGTTCGTTGAAGCTGGCCAGCATTGGATAAGGAATTAAAGTATAAACCAAGAATAATGAAAACTTTTAATGAAAAGTGCACTGAGTTCTTAATGCTGTCCCAGTCAGAAGAAGCTTTTATTAGCATAGCGCACTTTCGATTATGTCTCTTAAAGTCAAACGAACTCAGATTTAAGCACGGGCCTTTAATAATATATATATGAATGAAAAAGAATATTAATGCATCCGTGCTAAAAGTCAAAGAGAATTTTTTAAAGTGCTGTTTTAATATGCTTTTACGAATGGAAATGGTTGCCAAATAAATTTATATTTTTCAGGAGTGAATTTTAAGCGATAAAATGTATGGAATACATTTTGCCATATTTCTTTTAAAAAATAAAATTGGAATGGCCTAAAAACTATAAATTGCCTTTTATTTGTGAATTTAAAATTGTTAAAGCCCACGAATAATACAAATACTATTTATTTTATCATTTTGATAAGAGTTATTAATAAAAACAAAATAGTTAAAATTTAGTTTTTGATGTGAGTGAAGGTCATAGTTGATATCTACCCGCTTTTAAACAATTCAGTTGTACCATAGTACTTACAGTACTTACCGCCTACGGGTGTCTAGCTAAATATTGTTTTTTGCTGTAAATTTTATTCACTTAAAGCGGCTTTCTACATTGCCTTACTGCCCCAGAACGAACAGTGCGCCCATATTGCAGGCAAGATATGTAAAATGAATGTAAATTGCTGGAACCATAAAAATGCGGGCAGCTTTAAAAAAAAAAAAAAAATCCTGAGCGCCTGGGTTGACAATTGCAGCTGTGGGGAGAACGGAGCGTGCAAAGCGCGTCAAGATAAAAGAAGTTTAAAATAAAATAAATAAATAAAAAGCACGACAAAAGTAAAGTGGAACCGCACAGTGTTTAAACAATAAAACAATAAATTTTCATTACCGGACTCGGGGCTATTAACTGTTTCCGCTAGCCGAAAAGAAAATGCGTTTAAAGTGCAGCGATTAAATATATTATATAAATAAAGTACGAATTGTTTACATGCATTCCGTGGATGCATTTAAAGTGCAGCAGCCGCTAAAAGTATGCAACACTTTTATAATGCATATAATACTTTTTATTTTTCCATCAAACATTTGACTTTGGCATTTGCATTAACATTTTGTATTTATTTTATTTAATTTTTTTATTTTTTTGCTGCTTTCAACTCGGCCACTTTTCCCGCCCGCCCTCGCCGTCTCTCTGTCTGTGTGCGTTGCGCTTTAATTACATTTTCGTGGTTTTCATTTTGTGCGCCATAAATAATTTTACCATGCAACGCGCTACTTTATTTTCTTTTTTTTTAAAGGGTTTTTTTTTTAATTTTTCTTTTTGAATACAATTATTTGGCTCTGGTCCAGAGTAGGTGAGACTGAAATGTTGTTGCCTTTGCGGCTGCATCAGCATTAATTTGCTTAAAATGAAAACGTGCCACAAATTCTTTATTTTTATATTTTTTAGGTCTACTCTCAGCTCAACTTCAACTCAACATCAACTTGAACATTTTTCTTATTTTTGTATTGTGCTTTGCAGGTCATGTGGGCGGCTGCGGCATTACGGAGGAGGTCTCGCAGTGGATGGAGAACATACAAAATTCAGCGGTTGAGGAGCTGCCTGTGCCCATGTCAAAGGATGTCCAAAAGCTGCACCGGAAGCAGCAGCACAAAAAGGCTGCTGGTCCCCAACAACAGGCACAGCAGCAACAACAGCAACAACAACAGCCACATCCTCCCAAGAAGTACGCCAGCGGCGATGATGATTTTAAATTTCCACATCAGAAGTATACAAAGGAGGCAAACTTTGCCGATGGTGCATTCTATGATCCGGAGACCGGCCGTCGATTGGGCTCCACGGCCAATGTCGCCGATTGGCATGAGCTGGTCCATGAGCGTGTGCGTCGCGCCACTGGCGGCAACAATGGCGGCAGTGGCTCCAATGCCAGCGGTTCGACCAGCTCGGCGGGCCCCGGACGTGGCCGTGAGGATAACAAAAATACCTGCTCGCTGTATATACAAACAGATCCATTGATTTGGCGCCACATACGCGAGGGTATCGCCGATGTAAGTCTGACTATCAACTGGGCTGGAACGGGGAACGGGGAATTGGGCACTGCCAACTGGCAACCGGCAAGTGCAGGAGGCTGAGCCTGTCAGCTCGTGCGCCAAATTAAAAGCGAAGCGGCTGCAGCAGCAGCTGGTGTGTGGGTGGCGGGAATTGTGGCTTAAAGAACACAAAACAAAATCCATGAATTTTGCAATTTTTTACGAGCGAACGCTTCACTTTTGGGTTTGCGCATAAAACAAAAGGCCGGGCCTGAAGTACGCTTTTTTCCATGGTGTGGGAAATAACAGAGCCGGTGGGGGGAAATGGTAGGTGGACTGCGAGGTATATGCGCGCGTAGTCAGACAGACGCCATTTTTTGTTTAACGCGAATGCAAAGAAATTGAGTGATGCGCTACGTTGAGTGAAAATTGTTCTTTAGTTGACTGAAAGTTAGGTTAGGTTGCGAAAAGTTGGGTTAAGCTGAAAGTTAAGCAAAAGTTAGTCAGCTTTCAAGATTAAGGAATCTTGATGGAAAAACTGCACAACAGAGATTTTTTGAATTTTTGGTTTATGCTTAAAAAGATTGTGGGACCATATTTTCGGAGAGAATAATCAGAATAAAGCAAGAGTTCGTCGTAAATGTAATAGCTCGACGTTACTTATACATATTTCTTAGACCAAATGCTTTCCTTATTTGTATCATCCAAGCAAAATTATTTCCTTTTGGGTGTCGCATAGCTGAGCTACTTACTCTAATAGTACATCAATTTATAACTAAAAAGTGTTTTTCATTCAAAAATTCTTTCTTAAAAGTAGATGAATTAAAGGTTGACACTCGCAATACTCAAAGATGCGTTCTTTTGATCTCTATTCAGAATAAATTCAGGCTTAACTTAATTATTTTTCATATAATTATTATTCCGAGATGACAATAACCTCGAGAGTTCAGCACACATTAAATCATTTAGAGCATAATTCAAGCAGATCTTAAGCACTTGCCAACTACGACAGCATCCCCAGTTTCTAAATAGGGCGCTCAAGTGGTTTTTTTTTTTGCAGTAAAGTTATTTCCTACCTGAAAATTTGCTCGGGTGTCGCCTGCTTTGCGGCGTCTTCAAAGCAATCAACCAATCAGCTGACCTGCTTCGGTTTCTACAGCGCATGCAATCAACCGTTATGGCTCACGAGCTTCCTCTCTGCTTCTCTGTTTTGCTTTTCAGCCATTTCTCTTTCCCTTTGCTTTCTCGTTCGCAAGCAATTCTTTTGCCGTGCTCAATGTTTACGTTCATTTTTTCGCATTGTTCGCGATGTTGTCGACGTCAACATCCTCGTCAGGGTCGTCCTGCAGTCCCCGACTCTCTTGCGATACGCTCAGCCCGTTTCTCTCTTCTCTCTCTTTTTTTTGTCTGTTTATTTGCAATGAGTTTTGCATAATTCGCGCATTTGTTTCGTTCGCCACTGCGTTCGTGACGAGTTTTCTATACTCTATTGATGGAGTTCGTAGGGTATGCTCATTTTGGGAAAGTGCCTTGAAACTTGCTTTCGTCCCATTCAAATTTATATATTTATAAAGTTTATACATAAAATTGAGCGTTTCTCTTTTCTTGAAAAATAGAAACATTTCTGCTGACTCTTTGTCCCACATATTTAGTTATTCAAACTACAGTTTACAGGGTATTTGCTGGCCCACAACCTTAATATGTTCTCTTTCTCACTCGTTGTTGTCACTGAGCCCAGCGGCGTTTTGATTTTGGAACAAAAACTGCCGTTAGCGGTGCGATGACGATAGACCCTCTGCCCCAGCTCCACCTCCACCCCGGCCCAAGCCCACGGAATCCCGCAAAGCCACCCTCTCGACGCGCGCGTATAAAAACGAATAAACTTCTGAAAAATATTCGACGGGTTTTTAGCTGAATTTGCATTTTTATACAAATATATTTGAAGAGTGCTTGTTGTGTATGCGCGCGCGCGTGTGTGTGTGTGTGTGTGAGGGGGCTCTGCTCTGGTGTGGGCAATCTTGGTATGGGGTCGGGAGGTCGTTTGTTTGTCTGCCACGCCCATCCTGCGGCTGCCTGTTTGCTAGAAATGTCAAGCGCAGTGGCATTGCGGTTGAGATTTTTATTACGCGCGCGCGCCTAAAAGTCGAATGCTTTTTATTTTAATTTTTTTTTTATTTATTTTTTGTTAATTAATTTCCCAATATTCTCTTCGCTCTCTCCCTGCAGCACGATCGCGGCCGCAAGTACGAGGTGGACGTGAAAACCCGCGAGGAAATCACATCGCTGATTGCACATCATGTGACGGCCGTTAATTACATTTACCGCAACACAAAGTTCGACGGACGCACCGAGCATCGCAACATACGCTTTGAGGTGAGTGCACAGCAGCGCCCCCTGTGGTTGGCAATTGCCAACAGCGTTGGCCCCACCTTCCCACAATGGGCACAGAACAAAGGCCGTGTCCCAGGACCCAGTACCTCGTCAGGGAAACGTTTAAGCACAAACAGCCCCAATAATTATGCCAGAAACGAGTCGCTGGCAGTTGAGTCGAGTTGGGATGAATTTATTTTGCCCCTCCTTAAAGCAGAGCTCTCTCCAAAAAGGATTGAAATTCTGTCTAGTTGTTTAGTTTTAATAGTGAAACAATCTGGAATTGTAACTAGAGCTTACATTAAAGACCTAAACATCTCTTTAAAGATTTTTCCTCTTTTATTAGGTCTTTAATTTGAGTCAAAGTATCCAACTCGAAACGATTTTTTTTTTAAATAAACTAAAAATTATAGAGGAATTACGAATATGCATTTAATAAAAGAAGACTCGTTGGGAAACAATTCTAAATTATATACGACTGCTATTGAAACGCCTAAAATATAAAATTAATTCCTTAAGCTCAGGCTCTGTTCCTACATTAACATTAAATATTTTTCTGGATCAAACAGACTGAAATCCAAAATCTCGTAGACTCGGCGAAGAAGTCGTCCATAAAGAATTGACTATTAAAAGTAATTAGGAATCGTTTCACAAAATAAACTGGATTTGAAAATCTGAAGGTCCAGAAATGTTTTTAAATTAAGACAATATTAGATAGACTTAATATAAATGTTTTTCTTTCTTGCCGTTTTTCACAGTTTATTTCAAAATTCTAACTATTGTTCCACTGTATTTTGACAACGCTTCTTTCCAGGTGCAACGCATAAAAATCGACGACGATTCAGCCTGTCGTAATGCCTACAATGGGCCACACAATGCTTTTTGCAATGAGCACATGGACGTATCGAACTTTTTGAATCTCCACTCGCTAGAGGATCACTCAGACTTTTGTCTAGCCTATGTATTTACCTACAGGTGATTCACAACAAAACTATATATTTAGCTTTAATGTTAACTTTTACTTCTGCCCATGCAGAGATTTTACGGGCGGCACTTTGGGCCTGGCCTGGGTGGCCAGTGCATCTGGCGCCTCCGGCGGCATCTGCGAGAAGTACAAGACCTACACGGAGACTGTGGGTGGTCAATACCAGAGCACCAAGCGCTCCTTGAACACGGGCATCATCACCTTTGTCAACTACAACAGTCGCGTGCCACCAAAAGTATCGCAGCTGACACTTGCCCATGAAATCGGGCACAATTTTGGATCTCCGGTGAGTAAACGAATGGTGTGGAGGGAGAGTGAAGGGAGTTCGACTTCTCTCACTAACTTTAGTAATTTATTTAATTCCACTGTTTCATTTAGTCCCATTCTCATAATTTCTTTAATTGGATTTTTCACAGTTGAACACAAATTTCGTGTTCCATTCCGCTGTTCTACCCAAAAATTACTCACTAAGCGACCATATCTCCTTTTATTTTGTTCAAATAATTTCGGGTTATATTTCCTCGTTCCACAATTTTTAGCTAATGGCCCTTGACTTCAATTAATCTCTTGTATTTGTTGTTTTATTTTTATAACTTTTAACGTCAATGTTCGTTCCATTCCATCGTTCCTCATACTTAAATTCACCTATTCGATTGCTCGCTTTGCAGCACGACTACCCGCAAGAATGCCGTCCTGGTGGACTTAATGGCAACTACATTATGTTCGCCAGCGCCACCTCAGGTGATCGTCCAAACAATTCCAAGTTCTCACCGTGTTCTATACGCAACATTTCCAATGTGCTGGACGTGCTTGTGGGCAACACGAAACGCGACTGCTTCAAGGCCTCGGAGGGCGCCTTCTGTGGCAACAAGATTGTGGAGTCTGGCGAGGAATGCGACTGTGGTTTCAACGAGGAGGAGTGTAAGGACAACTGCTGCTATCCGCGTCTCATCAGCGAGTACGATCAGTCGCTGAACTCCAGCGCCAAGGGCTGCAAGCGTCGCGCCAAGACGCAGTGCTCACCCTCGCAGGGACCCTGCTGCCTGGCCAACTCGTGCGCGTTCGTGCCCACGCACTATCACCAGAAGTGCAAGGAGGAGACGGAGTGTAGCTGGTCGAGCACATGCAATGGCACCACCGCCGAGTGTCCGGAGCCGCGGCATCGCGATGACAAGACCATGTGCAACAATGGCACCGCCCTGTGCATACGCGGCGAGTGCAGCGGGTCACCCTGCCTGCTGTGGAATATGACCAAATGCTTCCTCACCTCGTCCATGCTGCCGCACGTGGACAAGCGGAAGCTGTGCGAGCTGGCCTGCCAGGATGGCAACGACACGGCCACCTGTCGCAGCACCAGCGAATTTGCCGCCGAATATAATATACAGCCGGGTGGCATCAGTCTCCAGCCGGGCTCACCCTGTGACAATTTCCAGGGCTATTGCGATGTCTTTCTCAAGTGTCGCGCCGTCGACGCCGACGGGCCCCTGGTGCGGCTCAAGAATCTGTTGCTCAATCGCGAGACGCTGCTCACCGTTGCCGAGTGGGTCACGGGCAACTGGTATCTGGTGGTGCTTATTGGCGTTGGGTTCATTGTCGTCCTGGGCGCATTCATCAAATGCTGCGCCGTCCACACGCCCAGCTCCAATCCGAAGAAGCGTCGCGCTCGTCGCATCAGCGAGACGCTGCGTGCGCCAATGAATACGCTGCGCCGAATGGTAAGTCCGACTCTCCGGCAATATTTTATACATACTTAATGTTTTTGTCTAATATTTTATCTATAATTTAACTCTAGCAGCGTCATCCGAATCAGCGCGGAGCCGGACCACGCAGCATCCCACCGCCTGCGCACGAGGCGCAGCATTATCCCCGTGGAGGTGGGGGCGGTGGCGGCGCTGCTGGCGGTGCAGCCGCTGGTGGACGGCATGGTGGTGGCGCACGTGGTCATCATCATAATGCGCATCCGCACGAATGGGACCGGCATCAGGGCGGGCACTCGATAATTCCGCTGCCCACGGGCGGCGGTCATTCCAGTCGCAGCTCGGCCGCCAATCAGGCGCGACGCAGCGATGGACGCGGCGCACGGCCCAGCAGCAGCGGACGCCCACAGGCCAGCGGTCGATCTGGGTATGGAGCTGATCAAGCGGGCGTGGGTGCCATTGGTGGTGGTGTGCAGGCGGCCATCAGCAGCGGCGGCGTTGTGGCGCGTGCTCAGCTGCCGCTGCCGTTGCCGCCGGCAAATGCACAACAGCAGCAACAACAACAACAACAACAACAACAACAACAAGTACTCTCACCGCAACAACAACCGCAAGCGTTTTATGCGCCGAAAGGTGCGTGTCCCACTCGCCTAGGGTCTTCCAAGTAGTCCAGCGCGAGCTGCTGTTTCGAATCCCATATTGTTTCACGAACACACATTTAATTTGTAATTTGTCGTTTTTCTTTTTCGTTTTTGTGTTTTTGTTTCTCTTTCAAAATGCTCAAAAAAACCAACAAAAACAACAAAAATTCAGAATTACCACCGCGCAATAAGTCCCGCTCATCGCGTACCAACAACAACACTACTGCCACGGCCACGCCCTCGACGGGCGCGAGTGGTAGTAAGAATGCCAAAAGTGCCAAAGCCAAAGACACAGCCCAACAACAACAACAACAACAACAACAACAACAACAACAAGCACACAACAAACACAACAGCAGCCGCAGCCGCAGCCGCAGCAGCAGCAAAGACAAAACGGCCGCAGCCGCCGCCAAGACACGTCGCAATATTGTTTACTAAAGAAACAAACGGGCATGGAACGCGTGGAATTGGAACGCCTCAAACATGCCATATTGAATACTAAATACCCAGCACATGCCTCCAACCCAACGCGCTTGCGTGCCACTTCCACCGTTCCACGAAACGCTTTACCCCAACAGAATTCGCTAAGCAATTGGTATGATATTTATTTTCTTTAACGCAGCGTTTCCGATTATTATTTTTCTATCGATATTTTCGCCAGTTATCGATTTTTTGGTCAACGTTTCTACTAACACGTATCGTATTGTTTTTGCCGTATTTCGTTGGTTGTTCTCCTTTCGCATGTTTCGATATTGTTTGATTCCTTTTGTGCCCCTATTCTTTTATTGTTTTCCCTGCATATTGTATTGTTGTTGTTTTTGTTATTGCATGCGCACTATAAATATCAATTTTTCGAAATATATTTCTAACTACTAACAAAACTAACACATTTTTTTGTATTATTAAAATTAATTAATAAAAATCCAATCAATAAGTAATGCTAAAAAATCGGATAAATAATATTTTTAATTTTTTTTTATTTGATTTTTATTTATGTTTTATTTTGCAATAAATAAAACATTTTTAAGTGTATTTATTTAAAAAAAATAATAACACATTTGGAGAAAGTTTAATTGAACTAATATTAAAAAATACAAAATATAAAAATACAAATATAATATATATATTTTATTTATATTCAATTATAATTTTTGTATTATATGTTTCCAAATGAACACCTAAATATTACCTAAATTAAGTTCTTAAACTAAAAGTTTTTAAGCTGTGAAAATGAAAAAGCGTCAAAACTAAAGTTTATGGGATGAAAAGAATTTTAAAATATTGTTAAAACCTTAACTTTGATGGTGGTTTTTGGAAGGCATTTCATTAGCATAGTTATAAAAACCAATACACTACTAAAAACTACTAAAAAACTTGCAATGTATGTGTGTGTGTGTGTGTGTATTAATGTAATCGATAAGCTGCACATGGCCTAATTCAAGCAGCCGCCCAGAAGGGGCGGGAGGGTTGTCTCTTGAGCAGGCGCCACAGCAAGCAAGTCAAGAAACTAATTCAACTTTTCCTGTGTATTTTCATCCCCTCGTCTCGCCCACTATGTACTCGAATCTTATATAGGCGTCGCGCCCCCGCCGCCGCTTCAAGTAAGCTATAGTCGACCGACATCGCTGCATGAGCAACAACCACAACAACAACAGCCGCTGGAGGAGCTGCACCAGCAGCAGCAGCAGGAGGCAGAGCAACAACAACAACTAGAACAACAACAGCAACACGCCTATTCCGACGCCTATGCGGCTTTGGGGCGTGGCCAGTATGAGTCGACGACGCGGGCGCCCAACAATGGCAAAGTTTGACAACCAAAATTCAAGTCGGAGCGCCAAAAAATACCAAAAGCCAAGCGACAAAAGCAACAGCAACAACAACAACAACAACAAGAACAAAAATCAAATGAACTCAAATTAAATGTAAATGTAATTTTTATGCTAATTATTTTTATTTAAACAAGCTGATAAATTGAATGATGAAAAAAAAAACAGACAGAGAGTAAAGCAAAAATTGCATATGAACCAACAAAGAAAAAGGTTAAAACAAAAACATGAACGATATTTTTGATTAAATTAATTGATATGAGAATGCAAATCATTATTATTATAAATAATTAAAAAGGCAGATTGCATAATATATATATATATATAGTGAATAAACAGAAATATATATATATATATATATACATACATAAACATAAATGTAATGATTGTGCGTACTTATTTACAAAGCAGCATGAATAAAAACAAAATTGAAATGTACGCAAGAACAACACAAAGATATTTATAAAACATATTTAAATACTTAAATGTCGAACATTTACTAAAGAGCCAAGGCAAGAAAAATTAATTACATTTCCCAAAGCGCAAACATATGGTTTTGTAAAAAAAAGAAGAACACGAAGAAAAACTGCAAATTAATTAAGCGGCTGGCAATGCATTTAAATTGTATTTAATTGTACTAAGGGCCAAAACCTTGATTAAAGCCGACAAAACTGCATTTGTAAACTAACAAAAAAAAAAAAAAAAAAAAAAAGAGGGGAGAAAAACAACAATCGTATTATTTTCATTTAGAATTGATTGAAAAAGAATTTAAAATATTTGTTGCCAAAGTCATTTATATGCAAAAATAAAATGCAGATATGTTGTCAAATAATTCTTCAAGCGCAAAAATGGCAATAAAACAAGCGAGAATCGAATAACGCAAGCAATTCAATAATTAAATAAATTCCTTAGTTCCCATTAACACATATGTGTGCGTATAATTACAAATATATGCATTATTTATAATTTTAGCATTGATTTTCTCAATTTTCTCAATTTGTATTAGGTTTAAAGCTTTACGTTTAATGTTTAATGAGCTGTTTCTGAGCCAGCAACTGATTATGTTAAATGTTACTCATCTCTATATGGCATGTATATCCTCCTTTAGTCTTAGCTAAACAATTAATCACACACTATTTGTATTTGAATTTGTATTTGTTGTATTTTAATTAGGGTTTCTAGTTTATGTTTTTTGTTTTCGTCTTGAAATCTCTTGAAATTGTACTTGTTACGCATTTCAGGCGCATCTTCCTCTGCTCTGCTGTTCGGGCCATAAATGGTTTGTTCTTGACTGACTAAAGTACAGTTGAATTCTTAAAAGTATTTTTAATAACTGTGGCAACAGTTTTGACTGCTGTTTTAATTCGATTTTAACAATTTTTGAGTATTTCTTTTGAATAAGTTCATTGAAATTGGAAATGAATTTTACAATTTTACAAACTTTTTAAACTCTGCTCATTTGACAAATTGAATATTTTTCATTCTTGCTAAACGTCAAGAAAAACCCAACTTGTAAATAGAAAAATCTCTAAGAAATACACAAAATGAAGGATGCATTAATTAAGTAAAACAAAAACAAGTTTAATTGCATAACAATGAAAAAGAAAAGAGAAAAAAAAAACACAGACATATGTTTAACAGTAATTACTTAAATTGATATATAAAATATGTATTAAATTTAAATTGAGCAACAAAGCAAACTATGCTATTAGTTTATCGCAAGACAAGAAGAAAACAAAACGCAAGACGAAATGCAAAAACAAAAAACATTTAACTATTAATTTAATTATATAATATAATGAATTAATTAATTGAACTTAAGGCTAAAAACACTGCTACAAAAAAAAAAAAAAAAAAAAAAAAAAAAAAAAAAAACAAACAAACAACACATAAAAATTAAGAATGAACATAAGAAATGATAATAAAAACAAGAACAAAACTACTATTTTATAAAATACAAAGAAAACCTCTTTTTAGTGTAACAATTTTTCCATGTAATGTTTATTTAAATTGTTTATTATGCAGACCTAGGTGAGTACAAAATTGATGATATATATTTTAAATGGATTTTGCTGACTCGAATCCCCTCTGAAGTAAGGCTATTCGATCTTGTGCTAATCCTATATTAATGCCAGTTGATACATTTTGAAATAGTTAGTTTATGCTTAAAGTTTTTGACAGATGCTTTTTAATTATTGACTTTTTATTATTCGCGTTTGTTAGCAAACATTTAAGGCACTTTACAAAATTAAATATTTAAATACAAGTACTTAGAAATTAGTATAAAAAAACATATATTTTTGGTTAAGACGAAAAAACACACATTTAGCTGCGCTGTGGCAGCCTGACAATTCGAACACAAGTACAGTAGAGCCTCCAGCTGGTGACTATGCGCGCACTCGGGATGCCTTCTTGCTTTTGTCAGCCTTCGGCGGCGGCGGGCCGCTGCGTCCGCCCTGCATGTGGCGATTGTAGATGCTGGTGGAGCAAAAAAAAAACAGGGTGTCTAGTGAGTAATCAATGTACATAGATTTAAATGCGATGTATAGACTCACATCTTATAGGTTTCAGTCTTGAGATACTCGATCACATGACTGATGCCCAACAGATATTGCTCAGCTATGGGATTCACCCAGGGATTCTCCTCCATTTTCATCACCGACTTGTTGCTGAGCAGGTCGAGCTGTGCCACCTCGGGCGGCAGCACCTGCAGCCGATTGTTCTGAATGTGCAGCTCGCGCAGCCGCACCAAATCGCCCACCTCGCGTGGCAGCTCCAGAAGATCGTTGTCTCGCAGTCCCAGTATCTGCAGATTCTTTAGCTGGCCCAGCTCCTTGGGTATATACTCGAAGTCGTTGTCGCCCAGATACAAGGCGCGCAGCGTTTCCATTCCAAAGAAATTGCCCGGCAGCACCTGCTCGTTCAGATTGTTGTAGGACAGATCGAGCACCTCCAGCACGGGAAAGGCGCCAAAGCCACGCGGCAGGCTGCCCAGCCTGTTGATGGACACATTCAGGATGCGCAGCTTGGGCATCGAGGAGAGCGAAACAGGCAGCTCGCTCAGCTGGTTATTGGAGAGGTTCAGTATCTCCAGATTCAGCAAATTGGCAATCCCGGGACTAATAATGCTGATCTTGTTGTGCGACAGCGTCAGACGTGTGATATTGGACATGTTGACTGTAAGTACAAGTTAATATTCTATGCTATTATTCATTATAATTGCTAATATTATTATTTATATTTTATCATTATTATCCCAAAAATCGACTGGTTGATAGTGCCAAGTTCTTTGTGTCGATACTTAAGTCTTGCCGGATCTCGTATATGATCAACTTTTTCGTTTTGAAAGATATCTTGACCAAACTTGACATTTTTATTTGATCAAAATAATAATACCTTACTATATAGCTGTCGTGGAAACAATCTGTTGAAAATTTTAAACCAAACTCAGTATTTATGGGCTTTACTATGATCCCAATATATAAGCAAAGCTCATTTATATCATATTGCTTCCATAGAAACAATCGTTTGAAAATTGTTTTTTTATGCAAAACCATTTTTTAGGGTATTTGAAATTCGTCACACTCTGTGCTTTTGCAGTTGAATTGTTTTCAGCTGCATATTCAACAGATGCAGCAAATTTTCCACTGGCCTCAAAGCAAAACCCATAACAGCTGTTTTGCCGCTCTGCAGTGAGCAGGCATAGGTGCGAGCGAGATGACGTTAGTGTGCGCACAGTGGCTATTTTTAAGTGAAATAAAATAAATATTGGGCGTTTGCTGCTGCAATTCATTTAAAAGGTATTTAATTTGTTGATTAAAGTGCACACTTTGAACATACTAACAAAAGCAGCAAATTAAATGCAGTTACAGGTAGTTATTTAGTTTTTTGTTGGCGCATTTTGTTTTTAGACGCTGGCGTCATCAAACAGAGCTCTGTTAGGCGCACGCAGATGGCGTCACAGCATTTCGCGTGGATTTTTCGGTTTAAATGTATTGATTTTCACAAAAACTTGTTGCACACTTTGTGCAGGGTACTTACATAGGCCGGGCAGCTCCTCAAAGGACACCAGGCCCTTGTCGACGAGGTCCAATTCACGATTTTGCGTCTCACGCGCCTCATCCAAAACCTTCTTCGCCTTCGACATCTTTGCGTTAACAGGCAGACATTGATTCATTGTTGTTATTGTTCGCTGTTAGGCGCGCTGTTAACTTGAGGTTATGTTAAGTGAGCAGCGTTGCCACTTGCTGGCCAAAACGGTGAACTGTGGTGAATGGTGTGAATAGCCAAGTTTTATACCTTTATTTGCTGCACACTGCTGCTCTAACTGTAATTAAATATTTGTTTATATAAATTTATTTAATTAACCAAACTTTAGTTCTGTTAATCTGTGTGTTTGTTTGTGTGTTTTAAATCACACAATTTTTACACTTTGTATTAAATGTCGCTTGATAAATGTTTTTTTTTAGCCCATGCTCTTTCTGCAACTACCTCGACACAGCGCTGCTCAAACTGTTGTTGCAGCTGCCACTTTTTGCCCTGTTGCATCTGTTTTTCTTCTGGCTATTTTCACTTGTTTTCCAGCACTTTGCATTGAGTTTCACAATTTCTTTGCTCAGTGTGCCACACAAACTATGCACTTGACCCAATTTTGCGTCAAAAATAATTCTTTTCCCTTCTTACAATTTAATTAGAACCAAATTTTTTTTTGGTTTTTTTGTTTTTGGTTGTGCAGCCTCACGTCCACACGCTGTGCAACTAAACATTTGATGTGCTCTTCACAATCGAAGCATTTGCTTTATTCTAATTCTAATTTAAAAACTAATCACTACGAAAATAGCCAAGTCCCCGAATGCGTCACCTTCATTCGCCACGCGCTCGCCCAAACTACTTAGAAAGATCATTTTACTCCGCGCACCGGCGATCGATCGATCGATTCATCTTGTTGTTGTTGTTGTTGTTGTTGTTTGAGCTGGTTTTTGCCTGTTTGGATTTTCGCGCTGTCGTCTGGTAATAAAAACAAAAACAAAAGACGAGTATGAGTGGTCCAGAGTTGTTTAGTCTCGACTAAGAGCTACCCTATGTTTAAGTTAGAATTACTTAAACTCAATAAAATATCCATTAAATAGCATAATCACATAATATTCTTGCTAAATAACGCCTTTCTTTGTGATTTTCATGATTTTAAGTATGTGAGTGTAAGAGTGTGTGAGAGAGAGAGAAGTTTTAAGATTCAGAGAAGGTGGCAAAAAAAAGTAAGAAAAAAAAAGGACGATGGAGCGAGTGGGTATACAAAACAAAGAAAGGGGTTTGCTTTAAATCGCCTTTCTATGTGATTTTTATGAATTTTACTATTTCCGCGGATGTAATAGAGAAAGAGAGAGAGAGAAAGGGAAGAGAGAGAGAGACAGAGAGAGGGAGAGAGAGAGAGAGAGAGAGAGAGAGAGAGAGAGAGAGAGAGAGGGAGAGAGGGAGAGAGAGAGAGAGAGAGAGAGAGACATAGAGAGAGGTAGACTGACTGATGAGAAAGAGAGCAGCTTACTTTATATCGCCTTTCTATGCGATTTTCATAATTTTTTGTATGTAATTCGGCGTAAAAGAGAAAGGGACAGCGGGAATGCGAAGTTTTTGAATGAGAGATGAAGACTATCTGAGGAATAGAAAATGGTGAATGGAAGAAAAGAAAGAGAACAGTATATAAAGAAACTGAGAGATTAATGAAATAGAATCTCGAAGAGAGAAAAAGTAGTAAAGATTTATTTGAACATGATGGCAAATCCTTGTGTGTTACAAAACACTTGCACAACTTTAGTATGCCCCATTTAAAATACTTAAGATGGGTATAGGGTATAATGAAAACACAAAATACAAAGACATTCCACTCGTTAAACTTGATGCCAGTTTGCTTTTGACTTGGTTTTGTTTATTTTATTTAGGTTTTGTTTTTCTTACTTTTGAGCAGACTGCCGGAAACCCGTTTGACCGCATTTTACTTGTGTGGCATTTTTCTTTTGTATTTATTTTGTATGTTTTATGTAATTAAATTTTTTTTTTTTTATATTCAGCATTGAACATAACATTTTATTATATATATTTTTTTATGAATTCTGAAACATGTAATAATTAAATTAAATTTTTTTCAGGCGAGAAATAAATAAAATGTGAAGTGCATAAATCAATTTATAACTGGTAAGTTGTATGTATATTCTGTCAATATTGTATGCACACATACTTGATTTTTCCTCAAATGTGCTTATATTCCTATTTGTTCCAATATTTTATTCGAATATATTTCTTGGCGCTGTATCGCAACAAGTTTCGCCAATTCCGCATTCGTCTGATTCGATTTTGTGGCAAAAATTGACTTTTGAACAGTATCCAAGTTGTGTTTTTAAAATTGTGAACGGACCGCATTCTAAAGATGCAATATTTATATAGGAAATATTTTAACTAAATAATAGGTTTTGTTTTTAGTGCAACTCACCATGTTTGCAACTGAATAAGGGCAGCATTATTGAGAACAGACAAATAGGAAATAGCAAAGTATGGCTCAGAAGATGCATGTTGAACGTTCTTTAATCGAACTAAAGTAGAGATCCACAATTCATTATACTTACACATACGATGTACACGATGCATATCGTTAAGGTTATAAAAAGCTTTACTAATTATATTAACTACAGTTGTCCGTGCATGCATAATGCATGTTAATTTCTAGATATTTGTACGGTTTGACATATATCTGTCACTCACATATACCCCGCGATCAGATTAAAGACCAATTTGTGTTCTGGTCTTGCCTCTAAATTATTTATTAGGCCGATGCTGCTAAGATTTTGATCATATATTAGCTAATGTATTGTTAATATATCTTCAACAGTTAGAATCAAATAAATTAAAAACTGGGATCGGTTAAGATATATTCAACAGTAAGAACCAGATAGATCAATAGATATATACTTATTAGATATAAATTGATTCGGTTATTCATTCTGATGTAAAAGACTTTTTTTAAGCTGAACAATAATATTGGGAATTGAGCGGGTTTTGACAGCGCAATTAAATAGTAAAGCACTTGCACTAAAAACTATAAATTAATATTTAATAGCTGCTGATTTTTCAGGCATGCAGCGGGTGGGCCTATAAATTATGACTAGGCTTAAGCAGGGAGGGGGGTGCGGTGCGGCTGCTGTGGGGTCAGTTTCCGCTTAGATTGTTAGCTGAATTTTTAATTACTTTATTGTTGCTGCGGTCATTGGGACTGGACGTGCGGAGCTCTGCTCTCTGATATGCATTGTTAGTCATATTTTTTGTTTTCCTATTAATTTTCATTTCGCCTGTCGAATCTGCCAAAGCCAGTGAAAGTTTGTCTTTTGTGCCTTGTGTTGCATAATTTGCGTGTTGCATACTTTTTGGGGCGCACAGTGGGGCAAACCATGTGTGTGTGTGTGTGTGAGTGCATGGCCGTGTGCCGTGCGCTACATTTCCGCCAAATAAAATATGCAAAAAAATGCAAACTCTCGTTGGTCTGCAAAAAAAAAAAAAAAATTAAAAACAAACTCCGGCTTGGCTCGGAAAATTAATTTTGTTTTAGATGTGAAAATTTCGAGCGCCAGATTTTTGGCTGCTAATGTTGTGGCAACACTGGCACTGCCCCACACAACACCCCCACCCCCGCTGCTACCAGTTTTTGTTTTAATTAACTTTTTTCTGTTTTTGTCCCAGTTATTTTCGCAAAGTTTGCAGTTTGCCAAATTGTGCTAATTTTGAAAATGCAAATAGAGAAAATTCTTAAATAATATATTCTTCAGCATTTTACAAACTAGATCTCTTGGGGTTCTTAAATGGCACATTTTATTCAGAGTTATATATAGACTTATGTGCATATATATATATATATAAATATAGATATATAAATCTAGTAAATCATTTTTTTATCTAACTGTTTGATTCTATGCCTAAAGCGTGTGCCTTATAATAATAAAAATAACTAGAAGAGGAAAACTTTAGACCTAACAAGTTAAGTTTATAAACAACTCACTTGACTCGAGTTTTTTTTTAACATTTTAAAAATTATATTATTATTTTTGTAATATCTTTGGCGACCTTTCCATTTCCCATTCCATTCATAGCTTTATTTTTGTTGCTTTTTTTTTGTAATTACATGAGGTTCCTAAATTTTGTTTCATAGTATTTTATATTCAATTTGCTTATTTTCGAATTTTTCGAAAATGGCATTAAGATGTCTTATAATTTATTGGCTAAAGCCTTTCAAGTATCATGTATTATAACTAAATATAAATTTAAGCTCTTACAAGACAGACGCCAAAATTTCATTTCTGTAAATTCAGCAACCCTTTTGCTGAAAAACAATTTTATTTATGAAAATTTATTACCTATGCATTATTTATGTGAAACAAATGCTTCAGGAATGCCCAACGTGGACTTAAGTATCTTTTAAGTTGGCCGATTTGTATGCTAATGTGTTCACACCTATTATGTGTGTGTGTGTGTGTGTGTGTGTGTGTGTGTGTGTGTGTGTGTGTGTGTGTGTGTGTGTGTGTGTGTGTGTGTGTGTGTGTGTGTGTGTGTGTGTGTGTGTGTGTGTGTGTGTGTGTGTGTGTGTGTGTGTGTGTGTGTGTGTGTGTGTGTGTGTGTGCATTGCTGTAAGGTATAATTCATTTTGTATTGCGTCTGTGATTGGTATTACCATAAATTATTCAGTGTCGAAACGTTTTGCGGTCCCATTTTAAATGAGCTGTAAAATATGCAGGTTAATTTGGTAAAACGTTACGACTGCAGCCATAAATTCGCATTAAGTTGTACAATAATTTGCATCATTAACAAGGTCTGATAGCGTGCTATCTATTGCATATATGGACGATAAGACGGCAACCGAATATAGTAAAGGAAAGCAAGTCCTTGCAGTTTAGTTTGATTTATGTGTGCACTAATTTTTGGCCATTTGCCTGTGCTGGCCAGAGAAGCCGACCACAGCAAAGGAGCTGCTCTGTCCGTTTGTCTGTTGGCCCGATAAACGGGCTGATTGAATAACTCGAATGGCACTGAAATATAAATGACAGCTGCCCATGCCCGGCCAGCCTGCCCCCCAATGCAGCTGTCAGCACTGGGACAGGGGCGCATCCTTCTAAACGGCACACAGTCTGCTTTATTTCTGGCCATTTTTCAGTGCGCTCTGTTTACATTGGCCAAAGACCGGCAGCAGGAGCAGCAGGATGAGCACTAATACCTCCAAGAGGCGGGCAGCCGGCCGCACCAATCACTAGCTTTTTGGGGCAACCACAGTCTGTGCCTTTTGCTGCCAGCACTTGCTTATCCTGTATACAGCCTGGCTTGGCCTGGCCGGCCGGGCCGGGCCGGGCCGGGCCGGGTCTGGACAGGCCTGGTTCAGAGCCGTTTGATTTACTTCAAACAATTGGCAACATCATACATCAACGACTTTTCGCTTTACAGTGTACTTTTATTTTGATTCTCTGGTTATTTCACACAAATCTCTATGCAAAGCGCTTTGTTCTTCTCTGCGCTTCAGCTTTCAATCAAGTTGCATTTCTTTTTGTTCTTCAATTCGAATACTAAAAGCTGCAGCTTATTGCTGTACTCGATGCGTGTGTACATCATGATAGACAAACTTCTTATCCAAAGAAAAATTAAAATTACAATTGGCTGTGATTAAAGTGTAAAATTAATACAATTCTTAAACAGAGCTAAAACTTTTATATTAAATATTAAATGATGCATATTTGCCAGTTGCCCACAATTTGATTGTTTTTAAGCTAATTGAGTGCATTTAATTATTTGTCTATTTAATGGAGCTGACTTTTATTAAAATTTAATGTTGCCGCATAACTTGCTGTAACTGTATTGCAAATTAAAATTGATTTTCAACAGGGGTAAATTTATCTTCGCAGTCGAAATACTCACAGCTGCCGCCCTGCGCTCTGGCCCCTTCGAGCAGCAATTGCTCATATTTTTATGCATGCCAAACACAAGGCTCGGACTCAAATGGAAAATGTAAAAATAAAAAGGGAAAATGTATAAGATGTCGAAAATGTAAATCTTAAAATCCTTGTACTTGTGCACGTTGATTGCTTGGCAGCCCTGCGCCGCGCTCATCGATCGATGGACTTGCATTTGCAATTCCTTTCGATTTTCCTACAGCCACTTTATCAATTTTGCCAATAAAATTCAAACAGCAAGATTTTCTTTTTATTTTTCACTGCTTGTTTTCTTTCCAAATCTTATTCGGCTGCTGCTGACATTAAAAATGCATCATTCAACCTAAAAAAAAAAACGAAGGTAACTCCAATTCTGATGGCTATTTGTTGGATTGCTTGATTTATCTGCCTGGCTCTTGCCGAGCGGTTTCTAGGCGTAGTTTCTTTCGTTTGCTTCCAGTTTTTTATTTCATTTTTTTGCATTGGCAGTAAATTAGATGTGTTATTGCATGGAAAATAAACAGAACCTAATACGAATTTCTGTTTTTTTTTTTTTTCAAAGCTTGAATATGAAATTAATAGACCTAGGCATCTTAGCCTTTTCAAATTGTATTTTTTCATTTCGAAGTACTTTGCGTTTTAAATTAGAATATATTTTTAAATGAAATATCTTCCCATAGCTGCATTTATGAATTTACCAAGGCAGGGTCTGTTCAGCTTTCGTCGCGAATTCTAATGTATTATTTTTTTTTTTTTTAAATTTCAGAACCTGAAACCAAGTTTAGTTAATTGGTTTTAATTTGCACTCACTTCGTCAGGTGATTCGTATTGATTATTCGTGATATGTGTGAATGTAATTATGAAGTGTGAACAACTACAATGCGACATGTTGTTGCCTGTCAAATGTGCTTGTCAAATCATCGGACAAAGCGCCAAAAAGCAGGCAATGAAATAGTTGCTTACTCATGCTGTCATGTCTGCTGTCTGTGTTTGGTGTGTGTGTGTGTGTGTGCTTGTGCTGTGTGTGTGTCTGATGTGCATGCCAAGTTGTAGTCATTGTCCACATTCGTAAAAGTTAGTTTTTTTTTTTCCCGAGTCTCTTGTAGTCGTATCTTGTACTATTTGCCTGAGGTACGGGACAAATGGGCGCACATTGACCGACAGGTGGACGTGCTTCGTCTACCTCAATACTTTCAGTACTTTGATTTTGACAGTGGACAATGCTTTTTGTTTTGGCTCCTGCGACATTTGGCCAGGTGCCAGACAAATGATAATTGGTATGAGTGAAGCAGCAGCAGCAGGAGGAGGAGCTGCCGAAGGACAATCCTTCGGTTTAATCATGAAGAAATGTTAGTGTCTGTGTCTTCTTTCTTTCGCATGATTGCGCAAACATTGGATATGCTTGAGCAATCAGTCGATGTGCTGACATTGAGTTGTTGGCAGTATTTATACTTCATTCGATAGACATAAAGACCTGATTTTGAGCAGAGTATGACGGTAAAGCGGACTCACAGAGTGAAGTTTCATGCTTATTTTAAATAGCTTACATTCACTTAAACGTGCATCGAATAATTTTGAAGGATTTTTATTGATTCCAGAATAAACAATTCAATTAATAGACCGAAAATAAAATAGCA